GGGTGCGAGTTGCGTGCCCGCGTGGCGGGTTCTTACATACCTCCATGCGTTGTGTGATGCGCTTGTACCTCTGATAGCTTTTGGGTCAACTGCGCCATGTCTGTGTCGGTTGTCCTGATGTAGCGCAAGACGCTGTCGCTTCTCCATCGGCCCATTGCCCTGATTAGCCAGTCCGGGGTACCCGCCATGGCTGCAGTTGTGGCGGCACCGATGCGGAACGAATGACCAGCGTAATCGCGTGAATTGGGTGTTCCCGTGAGTGGGAGAAGCTGTCAGAGCTTTTCTGTCAGTGCCTGCCTGGTCAGCGGTCTCCCAGGGCGGTAGCGGAAGAGTGCGTCAGTGGCGTCAGACGGACAGACTGTAAAATATGCCAGGAGGGCGGCAACCGGGCAAGGTTGTGAAGTGGTACTACCGATTATCTGCATGGCCCTGACGAAGTTGGTCCGTCTTCGATTGCTTGATGTGGAAGCGGATATATGTGCGTCCTTAAGTGACATCCAGAGTCACATCCTGGCGCGTGGCATGAGTGGCAGGGTCAAACCCGGCTGGAGGCGCAGTGAATTCAGCGCATCGAAGAGATCTGAAGAAGGCGAGCACCATTGCCGCCTTGAGCATGCCCTTGTCCTGCTGGTGACGCCGTTGGTCCAGGCTGAGTTGGTTGAGGAGCTTCCGCAGCAAATCAATGGTGATTGGGAGGCGAGTGCGCTGGATTGCCGGGTCAGTCGCCGTCCTCTTGATGCCTCGCATAACACGTGGCGGCAGCAATGCATTCATCGTTGGATCTCGGAATCCGGCTTCGAGATGCATGTTGCGTACTGCGGCCATGTAGACATGAATTGTCTGTGGTTGAACCGATTGTGTGAGGTGTGCTGCGAAGCAGCTGGGCATCGTGTCTGTAGCCGGCATGGGCGTCCATCTCTGCAACGCACAGAATTGCGTAAATTTCCTTTCGCCAGTGGCGTACGTGCGCCGTGTTGTCGGGGCGATTGCCATGGCTGCCAGGTCGGCGACCTCCTGCATCAGTCCAGGAGAGGGAGGCGGATTGCAGTGTCCGGGGCTTGCTGTGCCGATGGTGCCAGCTGCTGGAATGCCTGTCAGAGTGATACAGAAATAGGGCTTGGCGCGGCTAAACCTCTTGTTGATATCCCATAAGCGCCGCGTAAATGTTCTGCCTGGTACGACGACGCTCGACGCAAAGGAGAGTTTCCCCAGGAAGTGATCGAGTTTGCGTTGCGTGGTCTGGGTGCAGCGTGACAGCTCGCTGAGGAGCTCGCGGAGGTCCGTCGGTTTGTCGTCTGGGAGACGGGCTTCCATGCGCACCGTGTCCAGCACAATTCCGAGGAGGGCAGTAATGTGTGAAAGCGGACAGTGTTCAGGGGAGTGGAAGTCGGCTTACTTTTTCTCAGTGGGCTTCGAAGTCTTCTCGTGGCTATCTGCAGGGCGCTGCCACCTGAAGCGGGTGGTGCTGGTGCAGGATGTGGCGGCATGTCCTTTGTCTTCACATGAGCTGCAGGCGTAAAGACGGTCGCAGGGTGTGCGGGAACAGGGCCTGCCGCGGTTGAAGTTAAAACAGACTTGGCGGGTGCTGCCCGCCACTGATGGAAAGGGCTGCGCGTGTTGAGCTGCGGCATGTGGGCAGGCAGCGGTCGCGGCTGTTTTGGAGCGTGCATTTGGTGCATGACAGACGGGGAGAGCGGAGTAGGCGAATACTCCACAGCGTCTGATTGATCACGTCCCAGCGCAGTGCCATGCTGGCGGTGTGTTGGCGAAATGCTCGATCATAGTTCAGCACAGGAGACGTCTGCATGACAGACGGGGAGAGCGGAGTAGGCGAATACTCCACAGCGTCTGATTGATCACGTCGCAGCGCAGTGCCATGCTGGCAGTGTGTTGGCGAAATGCTCGATCATAGTTCCGCACAGCAGACGTCTGCATGACAGACGGGGAGAGCGGAGTAGGCGAATACTCCACAGCGTCTGATTGATCACGTCGCAGCGCAGTGCCATGCTGGCGGGGTGTTGGCGAAATGCTCGATCATAGTTCAGCACAGCAGACGTCGTGAACTGTTGGTTCGCAGTACAAAGTATGTGCTGGTAGCAGACGAGCTCATGAGCTCGGTCAGGACGAGCAAGAACGACGATGCCCATGTAGATCGTCCAGGCCTCCAGCCAAGCCGAGAAGTCGTTGATCGCGCGCGTGTGCTTTGCGCTGAGGTTGAGCGAGAGCTGAGCCATGTCGCCGCCAGCTGTAACCAGTTGTATTGGCTCCTGTCCCTGGGAGCTGAAATTTTCCAGCAAGAGTTCCTCAAGTTCCACAAACTCTCCGCGCTGGATTTTTTCAATCGCGCGACGTGGCGGTGTGGGTAGAACCGAGGGCTTGGAGAGAACTGGAGGTCCTGGCAAAGTCGGGGTTCCGATAGAACTGGAAGTTCCGGGCAGGATAGGTCCGGAGCTTGACGCTCGGAGCGTGGGAGCGATCTTTCGGGTGCGGAGCACGCGCGTGGGAGAGATCGGCTTCCAGATCAGACTCAGCACTGTCTGTTCTCCAGGCGTTCCACACGTTCGAGAAGAGAGTGGAGGGCGTTCATCTTCATAACGGCTGAGGAAATGATGTCCGGGGAGAGCAATGAGGGCTCGTCCTGCATAGACGCGTCGGTGCCTGGAGCGGGGTCAGAAGTCTGAACTAGCTGCTGACGGTGTGTCGGAGGCATCAGGCGCGAAGGCGCGCATGCCGTCAGTCCGCGCGTATGGCGAGGTCGAAGCCCTACCCGAGCGGCGACGGGTAACCTCGACGGCATACCCGCGGCCGCGTCCACGTCTGCTTCCTCGTACAGAGCCTCGTGGCATGGTGAAAGAGAGAGAAAGGGAGTGAGAAAGGAGAAAGGAACAAACCGGTGTTCTTCTCACTACCCAAGCAAAGCAAATATGAAGTAGCAATACGGCCAGCGCGAAGTATGGTGTATGCGTTACGGGTTCAAGCTCCGATGTGTGCTGCAGCCGCATATGGCTGGTTGGCTGGCGAGTTCAGGTGAGTTCCGGCGTACGCATGTTACATGCCACCACAGCGTGCATGTACGTGTTACTTGACATGCATCAATGAATAGCGTGGGATCTGCGGGCTCTTTGGAAGCCGCTGGAGCGCGTGTGAAGTGGTGGCTTGTGCAATGTGTTAACCTACATTACCGCAAGCTCTAATGTGCTATTATAATAGTGTAACACACAATCGTCTTGCTCTCGCCACTATGTGTTTGATTGTGTCCGCGAGTGTTCAGCACCTTGTTATGGCGTTAGACGTACACTGCATTGAGTGTGTGTGTGTGTGTGTGTGTGTGTGTGTGTGTGTGTGTGTGTGTGTGTGTGTGTGTGTGTGTGTGTGTGTGTGTGTAGTCTGTAGACTACAGACTGAAGTTTAGTCCCGTTCCGCACTGGGGTATGCATTCCCGTTCTCACCTCCCTGTTTGCAGTCTACAAATACAATATCATGTACAGGTGCAGACATGAAGAGCTAGCTGTTTCTCGCCTCAACAGTTGGTGAACGTTTTTGATCGCAATCGGCCACCCGTACCACAAACGGCGCAGCCGAGTGCCGAAAACGCCTCGTTCGTAAGCATTTCGGAAAGCGATCATCCAGTTGATCTACCCAGTGCGGTACCGCATAAAAATGATGTCATGGATCATGGACAGCTAGCACACTATAGCCTGCCTGGCTAGCTGGGGGGCCGACCACAAACTGACTGGCGAGTGGCGAGTAGACAGATACAGGTATGCCTGTACATCTGTTGACGTCATCAAACAAAACAAATCCACAATGCTTGTGGCTCAATGTAGCTGAACCATCGGACCTTATTTGTCAGCTTGGATCACGTGATCCATCCAGCTGCCGCGTGCGGCAAACAGCCCAAATAGCGCTAACTCTGGCCTGCGAGCGTTTGCTGCGACTAGCGCGCTAGCGCTCGTGACATACACAAACGCGCTAGCCAGAATGCTTTGACTTTGATGGCTTTCAGCTTCTATTTTTTGAAAAGTAGCGCGCTCAGACCAGCTCGCTCACTCTTTTCCTCTTCCATTTTTTAGGGCAATTGTTTTGTTTGATAGACGAAGCTTAGGGTCTCTTTGGGTTTGCAACCCTTACCCTCCTGGAAAAAATCATAGTTGTGCTAGACTGCGACACTTCAGACCAGGTACTATTAGAGCCGCTAATGGACGACGAGCTATTTTCCGCTATCCGGAGCTCAAGCATTTGAGCCGCTAAATGGACGAGACTCCTGGGGTAAAGGATGCAGAGAATGAGGAGAAAACACTCGTATGGAGCAGGGAGTAGGTATTGTACTACTTCCTGGTATGGAGCACTGAGACGCGGTAAGTCTTAGGGCAATTCTTAGCCAGTAATTACTTTCTCGCCATAATTATGTTCTCGTTTTTCGTGTCTTCTGTAATGCCAGTACACTAGCAGTACGACTACACTGTAGGCGAGAGTCCATAAGCCAGAGTGTGCAGCTCTCCATCTATGCAGCATAAACAAATTAATGACAAATTTCCTTTGCCTAAGGGCTGGGTTCCACTGCCGCTCCGCCGCACATCATCCACGGCATGAAACGTCATCATTACGAGCTGGTCCAGCGAGGCCGCGGCTCATCACCAGCTTTCGCTTCGCTGCTTGATACAAAAAAAATGCAAGCCGCGGTCACGGCTTGCATTGTTTCCCGCACTTAATTGTTTTATTCGGGGGAATTTTAATTCGTTGCACAGGCCAGAACACGAGGATTTTTTTTGGATTTCACGCGCGCGCAGGCAGGCTAAATGTCATAAAAAAAACGTCGAGCACGATCGCGGTACCGTGAATGGCGAGTGTCACTGGAACCGCGCCGCTCTGCTGCATGCAGCCAAGTACCGTGGAGCAGAGGAGCTGCGGAGCCGCAGTGGAACCCGGCCCTAACCAAACTTATAGCAATTTGAAAATGTTTGACAATTTTTCATAAAACACTTGACAACATTGTTCTTCTGTAGAGTGCCGCTGGCAACTCCATCGATGAACTCCATCAATGAGCGCAGGGATAAAGTTTAGAAACCCTTCGAGCGAGAACGTGTTTTCAAAAAGGAAGCACAAATATGCCGCGTAACTTCCCCTCTAGTACTGTATGGCCCCATCAAAGCCACTCGCTGACTACTTACCAGTAAAATGGGGTTGGACGGTTGTCAGATTAGCTGACATGTTTTCTGCCAACACAACCATAAGCAGTTGTCAACTCTCAAGACTAAAAGAGCTTGCGAAGAAAGTGAGAAACCTTGGCTATGAAAGCACATGAAGCGTCAGAACATAATCGAGCAAACTTGGACCTAGATTACCAGTGTCTGCTCCAGAGCCGGGTCAGTGGCCCTGTTTGTGAGTACTTGGACCTTTTGGAAAAAGAACACTGGGTTACCTGCGACCCGGTCGGAAGTCCTGTCGAGTACTATACTTTTGTATACCGTTCGAGGGTATACCGCCACTGACAGGCTGCATACGCGTGCAGATGCGTGCGGCCAGAGTGCCCAATGCGAGTACGTTCATACATGTACATGTACAATCATGTACATCAGGAAGTCGAAAGTAAGTTTACGACTCCCTGACACACAGTAGCCGCACTTGAACGCATCTGGCTCTGGCCCAGTGTTGCAGGAATTGTGCCAGGTAGACGTGTACCCGGTTTGTGTTAAATCTTAGAGCAGGTACTGCATACCCTATCATATCTGTGTACATGGGTAGACAGAGTCAGTGTTGTTGCGTCCCACTCAGTACCCTTCTGGTTCATTTCGGCACCAGCACTCTTTGCGTATGCAGAGTTGAGTAGAGTGCAAGTTCGGACCACAAGTACACTGCAGCGGCTAGTAGCCTAGCAAACCTAACCTGTGCCGTGATGCCCGGCACGTGTGTGCATCTACTTCATCCCTGAGTAACACACCTGGTATATTGTGCACAATAGGGCACAGTAAATAATCAGCATGCATCGCAGTTTTCTGCAACATATTCCTGAAGTCACTTTACACCTCAGAAGAATTGCGTCGCTGACTGGAATTCGATACCGGTTTAGTTTCTCTCTGGGTCATTATCAATCATAGAAAACCCGTCATACAATAGGTTCAAGCTAAAGTACCGTATCACCATGGTAATTACCTGGAAATTCGGTGTGTTTTCTACGTTTTTGTTAAACAAGCAGCAATGTGCAACAGAAATTACCATGGTGATAGAGTAGATGACCGTGTGAAGCGGTGTGAGATGCAGCAAAGGTGAGCCTGTTACTCGAGTCTATGCCCTAAACAATACACTTTGCCGTGGGATGATTATCCTTGGGCTGCACACTCTGCACACTTATTGCTAGGTATATCATTGGTCTTGTTCGAATCGTCCATTACGTTTGCAGCTGTTCAAACTTGTTTTGTTGTTTAATATTTTATTGATTTATTTATTCTACTTGCCTTTCCTATCTTCTTGTGTTTAGCATTAGGCGATTTGATCGCAGGACAAGAGAGGAGCTGATGGACGATCTCTCCAGTGTCCCTCTTGGTTCGGAGCAGCGCCGAGTGCTGACGTTGGGACTTGGGTAAGGATGAGTGTTCCCTCATGTTTACAAGTTATCCGTTTTGTCCAACACTAACGGTTATATGCAGAATACTGCTGAGTCAAAAATGTGCAACAATTAGCACAAAAACTGACTGATGAGATCATGACATTCAACGACCTGATGCTTAGCTGCATCACGTTTATATCCGTTAGTGTTGGACAAAACGGATAACTCGTAAACTGATGGTCCTCTTTTTCAATTTTAATCCTTGGCTCTCCATCCGAGTTCCCTCGTGTGTGTAGCTATTATTATTTTTTTGGTGCCAGTCAATTTTTTCTTCAGACTTTTCCCGTTTGTGTCTTTCCCTCAAACTAGTCAATATTTTTATTTACTTATTTTTTGCCCAGGGTCTACATTCTACCTTTATTTTACTTAGACTAGGGTTAGCTGTCCGTTTACCAGTACTCATCCACACATATGTGCACATAGGATCTACACAGAACTCTATCAGTAGATATTTTGTGTATAGGAGGTTGTCTATCCACAGGGATAGCACTATATACTCCCATTCTGTGTGTTCTCTGGTAGCTATGTCCCTTGGAGACTATACGGTGCCAGTGTGGTGACCGAGATCAGGCGTGTCTGCACTGGCATCGTCAACTTTGCCTACTGCTACGTGCTCCCCAGTGCTCCATCTGTGTCCTGTAATTTGTTTGGGGAGGGGGGGGGGGGCAATACCGGTACTTCAGGTGCAGGGGGCAAGGGGGGAATGGGGTGGGGGGACATCATGCCCCCAATGAACCTCTCCAGGCGTTGTTCTGGAGTAGACTAACCATAGGCGGAGTGTACACATGCAGCACATAGTTTGGGAGCTAGAACGCAATCGGACTCAGGCATATTCAAAGGCAGTCTATTGTGATAGTAGTCCTGGACTGATCTCACTATGATGATATAGGTCGTGCCCAGCATCACAATGCCAAACATTATAAATGACTGTTTTTTTTTGCCTGAGGGGCTAGATGAGCATGCGGCTAGACTGCCGATGGCAACCAACAGGCTCAAGGCTGTGTTGAGACTTCGTGTGAGCGACCCGAGTCAATTGTTTACTCACCATGACTAGGCATCGCATTGAGCATCGTATGCCCACTAATATAATATATTATGTCACTGTTCTTAGTCGCACCGGGGGCGCATGCCCGTTTTCAGGAGACTTCTCAAAACACATAAGCCCTGGGTCCTGAAGGTTAGGCCTATTGTTAATCTAAATAGTCCTGGCTACTATCCCGCTGAGTTCACTGACTTTCTACTGAACCCGTATGTATGTGAGGAAAGTACTGTTCTGACCTCAACTGCGGATTTCATCAACTTGGTAGAAGGTTTGCCTGTGCGGGACGATCATTTATAATTGAGCATAGGTGTGACCAGCCTTTACTACACCAACATCCCCAACGAGCTCGGTTGTCGTGGTATATCACACACAGGTGTACAAGGTGGATGCCCCTCGCCCTTCGTACATGGTTATTACAAGCAGTGACTTCCTTGATGTCAGTCATTCGGAAGAAAAATGAGTTCGTGTATGGTAACGATGTGTTTCGGCAGATCCAAGGCCAGGGACTGCCATGGGTTCGCCTGCAGCAGTGGTCTATGCCGACATTGTTATGCTGTATTTGGAGAAGCAGTACGTTTTGCCGATCTTAGAGGGGGAGGGTTTAGAGGTTCAGGTTTATAGACGCTTTATCATTGCATGGTTGCGAAGGTCAAGCTCAGCGCACTTTAGATAGGATTAATAAGTGTTCGGCCCTCAAGTTTTCTCATGAACTGGCACATGATGGCATTGATTTCCTGGACACCACAGTTTTCCGTAGTAAGGGATACATGGCGGTGAAGCCTCATTTCAAGTTCACCAATCGTTTCCTGTATCTGCTTGCCGGTAGTAACCACCCCTGTAGTATGGGCAAAGGTGTGTTCACTGGGGAGTTGATCCGTATCCGTCGGTCTTCGACCCTTGACCACCACTACGAAGCTGCTGCCGAGCGGCCGAAGCAGGCTTTCCGGGCCCGTGTATACAAGCGCTCCATCTTTCATCTTTCAGACCTGTACACTAGGAATGGATGCGCAGGGAAGGTATGTTGGTCAAATTGGCATGGGTTTGGGTTACTTCTGTAGTTGTATACAGTGCTCCTCATTGTATTTACCTGGGCCCGGCCTGCTGTCCTTCGCCCGTTGGTCTTGAGGTCCAGGTGTAATACCCCTACCATACAGTCCGGTGGCCAGCGCGGTTGTTGTTACACGGTGGAACATCGGCAAGAGGTTGCTTGCCCGTTTGCCTCATGCTCAGTGTCCTCAGGGAGTTAGTATTTTCCTCCTGTTTGGATTTTGCAGTGTCTATGGTGTCGGTAATTGAGTTTTTGTTCTGTATGCTTTTCTGTGGTGTGTGGCTGTTGTTCACACATCTTTATTTGACTTGCTTCCTGGTGTGGTGTACCTTTTTGTTTTATATTGGTGTTGGTCTGGCTGTAGAGTTCTAGCATCCGTAGCTGCCTCAGGGGGTGCCACTTCTCCCATCAGCGTCGACTAGTCCGCCGGTACGTGGTGCTATATTACGTTTAGTTGTCTGTTCCATCCTGTACGGGCTGTGTCCTGCTGACCACACAGTCTGGGTCTCCATACTTTGCATGTTCTCATCGTGTGTAGTGTTCACACGTACATATATGGACTGTCACACCCATATGTTGTACATGTGGCTGCACGTGTTGTCTCTTTGTCGTACCTGCTGCTGTATTTGTGTTTCTGTGATGCTGACCCGTACATGCTGCTGCGCTGCTTTGTTGTATTGCTGACACGTGCACCTTTTTGTGCTGATATGATATCGAGTACGCCACTTTTTGTGCTGATGAGGGCACCACTTTCCGATATCATGTTTCCTTTCGCCATGTCAGTTGTCAGTTCGCCCGTCGTCTCCTGAAGTGTAGTAATGAATAGCTCTCTCTCTAGCTCTAGAGAAAAACCACTTGACTAGTCCGTTTGATGTGTGGCGTGGCGAGGGTATAGTAGAGGCAGCTCGTTCTCCAACCGAGACGACATTTGGCGCCCAACGTGGGGCTCAAACCCACGACCCTGAGATTAAGAGTTTCATGCTCTACCGACACATATATGCACGCGGCACCGTTTGTGCTCCTATCCATTTACATATGCTGCTTTCCACACCTGTGCTGACAGTCGGTACGCACCGACTCTGTACGCATGCACGCACACCATTACATTCTGTTGGCATCATATTAGTGAGGTTTTGCATTCCAAAATTCGGCAAAAGATTCGGCACGCGGGAGCGAGGTCGAAAATGCACACGAAGATGCGGCATGTTTGTTCGGAAAAAGCTCACTTTGCCGAACATATTCTTCGGATGAATTTTCTTGTGGAAGAGCGCTAGCGCGTGATTTATTCAAAGAGGTTTCTTATCTTGGCATGGCTTCGCAGGCGTCTTTGACGACATCAGCATCGTCAGCTACCTCTGATTGCTCCTCTCCACTGCCTGTCTACTCTCTTTCGCCTGGAGTGTCCTCACCGTCATCTGTGTGGCTGAAAAGACTATGGCGATACCCATAAAATTTGACTTGGCCATGGAGTTGGTTTTTCTGAGGCGACTGAGGAGGCAGGTTTGGCCCTCGACTCTTTGGGCGCGATCAAAGTTTGTCGGAATCAGCAAGAAAAGGAGCACGGGACAGGACATTGCTGATGCTGGGGCTCACGAAATCAAAACACATCATTTTCGACTTGCAAAACAAACGTCGGTGCGAAAATTCGACATTTTGATGTTCGACAAATTACCAAAGAACGCCAAGCCGAAATTCGGAATGCAAAACCTCACTATTGCGGAGCTTTCCGGAGCTCCGAGTTAGTTGTTGTTTGGAATACAGCAAGAGAACAACATTACATTGGCGCTGCGAGCAAACGCCTGATCCTCGCCATGTCCCTACTGTCACTACCGCCTCCGGAGCCATTCCCGATCTACAGCAGTCTCTACGATGCTGCTGCCCATTTTCCTGCCTGGGAACGGTGTTTCCAACTCTATGTCGCAGCAGCCGGCATCTCGGATGACACTCGCCAGAGAGACACTTTCCAGTATGTGGCCGGCAAGGACATCCAGCAGCTCGTCCCTACGTTAGCCAACACTGGCAACGATCTCGACGGCCTCGTAACCGCCGCCGCCGACTACTTTCAGTCGAAGCAGAGCCCCAGCATGGCCCGCTTCCACTTCCGGCAGGTCACCCAGCAGCCTGGCGAAACATTAGACACGTTTTATACTCGTTTGCTGGCATCGGCAACGACCTGCAGCTTCGCCGACGATGCCCAGAAGAACGTGGCTCTCTGTGATCAAATTGTGGCAGGATGCACGTCCGATCCACTCCGCAGAAAACTGCTGGAGACTGGGTCCCTTGATCTCGCCAAGGCGCTCAAGGCCGCCAGAGCATTTGAAGCGTCAGTGGAACAGACGACGGCGTTCCGGCGCACACAAGACTCGATCAATGCCCTCCGTCATCAGCCACCGTTCTACAAAAGGACACAGCCGCCTCCTGCTACTGTTTCAACTCCGTCGCGTCGACCGATGCAGTCTTCGCCACATCCAGCTGCAAACTCGTACCACCAGCCACCTGCCCCAGTCGCCACTCGCGCTCCAGGCCGGCGGGAATCCAGCACATCGCTCTGCTACCGCTGTGGAGAGCCAGGCCACCCTGAGTCACGTCGCTACGCAGTTTTGCACTGTAAACGTCTGCCCATGGGCGTATCGTCCGCATCCGAGATCCTACAGCGCACACTGGACGCCATGGCTCGCTGGCCTCGACGGTGTGAAGAACGTCCACGACAACATCTTCAACTTTGGTAAGAGCGTCGAAGAGCACAACCGACGACTCGCCGCCTGCCTCCAGCGGCTCCAAGATCACAACGTTACACTCAACCGAGCCAAATGTCACAAATGTCACATCCTCAAGCCTCGGCTCAAGTTCATGGCTAGCGTCTACTCCGACAAGGGCATCCGCGCCTCTCCCAGCCACCAGCAGTCTGTGGCTACATTCTCTACGCCATCTTGCGTCAGCGACATACAGAGTTTCCTGGGTCTCACCAACTTCCTCCGCCGTTACATTCGTAACGTGGCCGATCTCACCACGCCACTCCCTGCTCTCACTAAGAAAGGTACTGTTTGGCGTTGAACTGATGTTGAGCAGCAATCATTTCATGCACTGAAGAAGGCCATCGCCGAAGACTGCATGCTGCAATACTTTGACCGCAACACATCACTGTATGTCGACGCACCGGCCTCGGCGCAATCCTGTGTCCACGCCAAGACAACGGCCACGATGCACCTGTAGCATTCGCCAGCCGTGCACTCTCCGGCGTCGAGCAGCAATATTCTCAAACTGAACGGGAAGCATTGGGTGTCAAGTTTGGCTGCCTTCGCTTTCACCACGACTTGACAAGGTGATCCACAGTTCACCGTTGTCACCGACCACAAGCCGCTCCTGCAACTCAAGGCCGTCGGATCGAGACCTCCACCATGAATTGAGCGCATGGTCCTCCGCCTGCAGGATCTCAGCTTCCAGCTCCAGTACAAGCCTGGCCCAGAAAACCCGGCCGACGTCGTCAGTCGCAATCCGCAGCCTCATCCCGACTTGCCAAACATCGGCGCACAGGAAGACACTTCGTACATACATGCCCTAGCTACAGCAGCTAAGCCAAATGCGTTGGCTCTGAAGGAGATTGCGGACGCCACCACCGCAGACACCACACTGCAAGCCATCCTTTCCTCTCTGCAATCTGGCCGCTGGGATTCCAGCCACACCACGGTCCGCCCGTACTTTGCCCTCCGCCATGAACTGTCTGAGAGTGACGGTCTACTACTCCGCAACGACCGTCTCGTCATTCCCACGGCCCTCCAACGGCTTACCCTGCAGCTTACACATGCGGGCCACCAAGATATTGTCCGCACCAAGCAACGGCTCAACAGCAATGTTGGGTGGCCCAACATGGCTACTGAAGCCGAAGCACTCTGCCGGCAATGTATTCCGTGCCAAGCAACTCTCTCAACGACACCGCTACGTCCGGGAGTCCGTGCCCACACCACCGTCCACCAAGCCGTGGCAACGAGTCTTCGTCGATTTGTATGGACCCATGCCAAACGGTCAGCACCTGCTTGCCACTATCGACCAGTTGACTCGCTACCCGGTCATCAACGTGTTCAGCACGACACCCACTACGGCCGGTGTTGTAGCTCTGCGCTCTACATTATCCATGTTCGGCTTGCCCGAAGAGCTAGTCTCGGACAACAGTCCTCAGTTCCGTTCTTCGGCTTTTGCTGATTTCCTCGCGCAACACGCTATCCAGCACCGCCACACCCCTCCTTTGTGGCCACAAGCAAACGGAGCAGTCGAGTGCCTCAACCGTACCATTGGCAAAGTTCTGCGAACTGCCAAACTAGCTGGCGAAGACATCAATGTTGCATTTGACCAATGGCTCCTAGCGTACCGCACCACGCCACACCCTGCCACTCACGAGGCACCGGCAACACTCATGTTTGGTCGCCCCATCCGCGACAGCATACCCTGCATTACGGCAGCCGCACCAGACTTACCTTCAGCTGCCCACCGTGACCAGCAATTCCGCCAATCCCAGTGCGACGCTGCCAATGCCACCCGCCGGTCAAACGCCCCCATCCTCACTCCTGGTCAGCGCGCCTTACGCCGCAATGAGCAGGCACACAAGCTCTCACCACAGTGGGATCCCAACCCCTGGACCGTGGACCAGATCTCTGGGTCTACGGTGACGATCTCCAACTCAGCAACTGGCCAAAGATCGACTCGCCATAATTATGTCGTTCGTCAAGCCCGTAATTGTTGTCACACAGACAGCCCATCACCCACTACCAGCTGAAAGTTCTGCCACCACACCTTACAAAATTACAACAAAATCACATGCAAGAAGTCCTTTCACTTTGACTACTGCTCGTTGCGTGACATCACTCCTCACGAAAGGACTTCCTGGGGATCACAATCCTAAACAGACAAATGTACGAATACCGCAACTGACTCTGTTGTTCTGCACGCCACGATCAACACGACTGCGTGCAAGACACAGCTGATCATCGTCGCTGTACTCTTCCCTGAGCACGTTACCCTGTCGCTGCAGCCTGCGACGGACATTCCATAGTTCCACCAACTTGATGGCTTGATGTTCCCATTGACGTCGACCATGCGGTGTTGCCATTGACGACCTTCAACTTCAGGTCCTTGCCGTGGTCCGCACCATTCAAGAGATGGGCCACATTTGGTGTACTTTCACCCAGTTGGTCACTTATTTTAACCTTGCCGACTTTCCACTGCCGGACTGTTGCTTCAACAACTGGCGGAGAGCACGTACGCATATCATCACTCTTCCTTGCAAACATCATTTCCGTCTCCACCACGTCCTTATCAGCCTGATCCATGCCTGACACCCCCAAGGCACTGTCCACTGTGCCGCCGGGCTGGTGGAGCGACGGACCGATTCTCCAGTGACGGTCGTCGTCCACAAGGCTGTTGGAGTGCGCATCCAAGATGTGCTAGAGCTGTTCAGTGTCGTGCAATAGCTATCGCATGAGCTGATTGTTTAGTAACTGGTGGTGTTAGTGGACAGTATAGCGTAACTTGTAGTTCCTTGGTCTTTCTCTTTTGTATAAACAAACTAGTAAGCTAACGATAAACTAGTTACACTGAGACAATTCGACTGGCACAAATTACAACAAAATCACATGCAAAAAGTCCTTTCACTTTTACTACTGCTCGTTGTGTGCCAACCACCATCATCAGTGTGCGCATTGCGCCTGGTTTGGTGCATGCCTGGTGGAATCTGACATAGCGGCTGATGCAGTGAGCACGTCAGGTAACACCTAACGCATTGAAAATGACTCAACTATGACTTGGTTCGATTGCAAAAAACCTAATGATAGTGGTACCGAAACATTCGGGTAACCGGAGTAAGTGCCAATTGATATTTTTGGCTCCAGTCAGTCAAGTGATTCAATTGCAATAAAATTATATACGTATGGTGGAACTCACTTAGTACGTACCCGGGTAAGACATACACCTGCATAACACGGTCCTCTTTTGTCGCACGGATTTTCCTCCCATAAGCGCATATTCAGATGTGTACGGATACGACTGCTTCCTTCTGTTCATGTGGTTCATTGTCGCTGTGTTACTGTATGCAGATCTCACTCAGCTCTGCTCTCCGAGCATGCTGCTTCCAACACGACTTCCCGAAAGGTATGTATGGTGGCTAATAAATAATGCGAGAGTCTTTACGGATTCCAGTGCTCTCATGCCTTTTGCAAGTTCCTTTTGTAAGTCAAATGGAACATGGTTTGTGGTCAATACTTCAGCAGTAGTGGTGCGAGAATATTCGGGTGTCAAATTGCTCGGAATTGATGTATGATAACGGAGAATATACCAACATGTGAATCACTTGGAGATATGGTTTGCCAGGTTCTATTCACACTCACTAGGCTAGACCCTCTCGAGTATTGTACAACAGTTTTGGCCCAGGAGTGGTAAAGGGCACGGGGCAAGCTATGTCGGGACCTGCTGTAAAGTCTGCCATACACGAGCTGTACGTCTTATCGGATTGGATATACCCCTGATATTGCTGATAATGAATGGCCCAGTTTCATTGTACTGCTGTCCGCGATATTATATCCTTAGTGGCATTGTTAACTTCTCATTGCTTGTGGGGACGCATGGATCATACGTCCATCCAACACCTGCCAATCGGAACCCACCGACAACGCTGTCGGTTGGGTTGGACCACAATCGGTTGGTTTTTGAGTCCAAGATGCCACCTAGGTAGCACACAGCATTGCTAATCTGATTTTAAATTAGCTGCGCAAATCCTGGCATACTGCCCGTAAATGCATCTAACTCCCAGGGTACTTATGAGTTTTTAGGTCTATGTGGTACTTGTGTCGCATTGGCAGCCACTGTTCCGTTCTGTATTTTCTGGTCTATGTGTCGTTGAATCTCCACAGAAAATGTGCTCGCGCATTAGAGGGAGGTGAAAGATGCACCTGCAGGAGAATACATGCTTAAGAGAAGGCAGAAACATGCCCGGATCCACCAGAACTAGTGCTGGCAAGTCAACAGAGGCGAGTACTGATAATGTTCCAGATTGTGGTAGGATCACATAAGCAAAATTGACACTGGGAGGCACGGCGGTGGGTCAGCTCGTGGCCAGCGCCAGCTCCAGTGGATATCACGTGCATCCAGTTCTAGTACTATAGTATGACTGCTACAAAGTAGTGCGGCCCAAATAGAACTCGGGTCAGGTGCCGAAGAACTGGGGGGTGGGGGGGGGGGGGCATGTATCAATGAATGGTAATAACTCCGGAAATCATGCTGGTGTATCGAGGGCGTGGGCCAATGAAGTGCTGGATTGATGGTGGACGACTGTACTGCAATCTTGGCTGGTCCCACTATCGCAGAGACAGCACTTCCTGGTGCAACCACCCTATCCTGCAATCTATATAATAATTATTATAAGAGATTTGTGTGAACGATTTTAGCATGATGCAAGTCAGCTTATTGTGCTGGGGGCCTGGCTACATGTCACTATAGCTTTTTATAGACTCGATCACCGCATTACGCTGCCTTGCGTTGACTTGATTGAGCACTCTTTTTGGTTAGTGTCAAAGGTATATGTAATATGTATCTGCCTTCGTGCAAAGCTCTCTTTGTGCGTGTCTTGCAGATAGCTCGCTGACTTTGATGCTTTGAGCCATTTTCAAATTGCTTTTTTTGTTCATTTCATATAGACCGTATTGCCATTTGTTTAACCTCCCGCTCTGAGCTCCACTGATGGGACCTAAAAAAGGCTGAAACAGCTGTCTGGAGATTGAGCGTCAGTATTATGGATTTAGAATACACGATCTGGGGACAGCACTAGTACTGTCTAGCTGTTTCGTCCTTTGTGGACTCATTAGCGAATCACGGAGAAATAACTCTTAACTAAGGATGAACCTAGCAGCCATGAAAATAGATAAATAATGCCTCCAAGCCAGAATTCAAGGCTACATGTGTAGGCCCGAATGTGCCTTGCCCAAGTGCTGAAACTGATAAGTCATTGAGATACGCATAGAACATCTGGCAAAGGAACTACTAAAGCCCCCACAAGCACGGTATTCTACTTCAACAAGGAAGAATTTTGAAAGCATGCACAGCCCTACATGTATAATGTTGGTATAGGTAGTAAGCCTTGTTTGATAAATTAACATGACAAGGCGGGGGACGCACTGTGTTAAAAAACAGTACTCCTGATACACTAGTATGTCCTCGTACTCCTGATACACTAGTATGTCCTCGGCTTTGTCACATGCTGTCAACCGATCAACACATACAACGTTGCATGCAAAACGGCTGCAGCCTCGAAGTACGGAGTGCTATTTTGGAAAATGCTAGATGTACAGCCTGTACTTATACAGGTGTTCTATCAACTAGTGCCATTATGACAACGGTAGCTGAATGATACATGTACATAAACCCGGGGTCATCATTTCAAGAACCTCTGGGTCTAAGCCCGAAGTAACATTCAACTACATGACTGTATACACCATCATGTATACACCATCTTCGTAGTAACTGAGTCTACCCCTCACCCACTACTGCCACTGTGACCACAATTGCGCACAAACAGAGGACCTTAGAGGACCTACTTCTAACTACAGTGCTGGCCAAAGAAATCCAACCTTATGAATAAAATTGCACCGGGCGCTATGCAGCCCTAGTAGTAAACATACTGGACCGGTCTGTGCTCTCGAACGCGCGCTACTTTATTAATGAGGTTGGATTTCTCTGGCCAGCACTGTACAAAATACACACATGCACACACAACACTGCTAGGCTTTCCACCACCACACTAGGTTTTGAAACCGAAGAGTGGCAAAATTCAGGGCCAGACTAGAAAATCTGGGGAGACCTGATGATGCAAAACACAGCCAACACTCTGCAGCCTCACAGTCTCCGGCAGGTTTTCCCGAGCGCACAAAATTAAAAGTTGTTGAGGCACCACGAATACAGTCGGGCGTCACAGAACGTGGGACCCAGGAATGTACGTGTATACCTCTAGGTACACCACAGCCAATAACGTTTTAAAAAGAAACGCAGTGTCAATAGACTCGAGTCTCTGCTTTTCTGGAATACAGATTCTGGTACACACGTATTGCTCACTATCCAGTGGGATGTGCATCTAAGAAAGTGGTACAAAAAGTCAAGGAACTAAGCCTAAGGCCAGATTGCTGAAAGGTTTTGTATAACTGACGAGCCTGACCCCTTGGAAACAACAGCTGTGGATGCGTGGCTCTACTGTAATAAATGTACAGGTACACAAACAATTTGAATGCAGAAATAACAACAAAAACAGGGAGAGGTGTAGGAAAATATACTCGGCCCCTAGTGAATTTGCTTGTGTATTAGCTTGAAAACTTTCGGTACACTTGTTGAGAGACCTAACTGCATGCAGCTAAAATATGGAGTGCCGTTGTCACCGACGACTTTTCCAGTAAAGTTGCGGCTAACATCTTCTCAGGTATTCCCGGGTCTTCGCTAAGGCCGTAAGGGTGGATGATATCATGTGCGTCTTCTATTGCTGATGTCGCTACACTCGATGGTGGTGCTGATGTACTGATTGTGGTGGAAGATATTGAGATGCCGTATGTCTCGAACCTTTTCGCTAGGTCTCCGCGGCCATCGCGCAAGAGGGTCGGGAGCACCACAACTGCAACGCCACAGATCCAAGGATCGATTCTCGGACAAAACATTCTTCAGATTGCCAAAGGTCCCCAGTGCTTGGCAATACTGGCCTGTGCAGCATGAACACACCACACATACGCCCACACACCATGTACCATGTAAACGCCCGTTGCAGGAGAAGCACGCAAATCTGCAAATGAATTGGATGTGCACCCACAGATTTTCTCGTATAGGAACAATAGCTGATCTGAATCTGAATAAAACAGATCAAGACTAGTGCCAGATAACAGTCTAATCCGCACAAGGCAACTGGCGCAGCCATGTGAATCTCGAGCAAAATGGACAAACATGTCCCCAATTATCAGCAAACGGGTGTGCGTTACAGGATTGGCCTGGCAACTTCAAACAGGCACAATCCACTAACGTGGTGCCCCGTCAACTTCAACGGGAACACACCAATACAAACACAGCCCCACAACAGCAAAACGGGAACGCCGTTACAAATATGGTGCCCTGGCAACTTAACGGGAACGCACCAACACAAGCTGGCCTGGCACCTTCAAACAGGCACAACTGACAAAACACGGCATCCGGCAACAGCAAATGGGTAGGTACACCGTTACAAGAACAGTCCATCGCACCAAAATGCTGCTGCCACAACATTATAGCAGCAGCACGCCAGACATGCATACATGGCATTCCCAAAAGCAGATACCTGGAGTCAAATTCATCCATCACACTGTTTGTTAGGGCTGAATTTTCCAGTGACAATAGGAAATCCCGCCTAAGGCTCATGTGATGAGATCTGTACACCAACTCAGGGTATATTCTAGGACGAATTTCCAACCGGTTACGGTACAATGAAGAGTCGGGGGGTCCCCCTCCGGAAATAGTTTTCAAAATACAACCCAAATATGGCACTCGACAGCAATTTAACAGATTTCTTGGTGCTGGAGTGTCGCGCGGAGCTGTTGGACTGTAGCAACGCCGTTGCTACAGCTCGATGACGTGGTTCGACCGTACAAACCGTACAAACTCGTGACCCTAGTACCAGCCCACGCGGCTTCGCTGGAAGTATCCATCCAGAAAAAAGCGTATGACCATTCACCCACAGAAAAGTACGGGCGGTTGGAACTGATTTGTAACTTTTCAACCGGTCGCCAACTATTTCAACCGGTCGAAAACCGGTTGGGGCGGTTCTAGAAAATTCCCTGCAACTATAGTCACAGTATCAATGCACATTAGTAGAGCATAAGAACTCACTTGCGCTCATACCCTGTCACGTAGAGATGCTACTCTACGTGTACTGTTCCGATGTCCATTGGGGTGGTATGCCGGCCACTTGCCAGATGTAGAGCTTTTAAGCCGTACTTTTGCCACCGTCTGCTTGCCGTATCACCACCTCACTTGCAACTCTGGATTCCAGGACTGTCGCTCCAACAATGGGCATGGAGCAGGAGCTAACCTGATAACAGTTGAGAGCGTGACAGAGTATCTTATTTAAATAAGGCCGAGTAAGGTGGATCCCTTTGGCAAAAGTGAACACAGGCTTGGTGCTACAGGCATGGGCTGTCATGTACCGGAATAGCCAATACCGGGCATGTTTGGTCGACAGTAGATGGAACTGCGACGGCTCCACCGTATATGGCCGCGTCTTAGTGACCTTCAGGCGCAACGTGACCAAGTCAGGTGCGAGACTCCCAGCCTCCCACACAAATACTCTTTGGCTGTCAAAAGAGTGAATACTAGTAGATGATGCTAAATACTCGCTGGCAAACAATAAGCCATACAAGGCCAGTAGTATACTTACCCACAGCATAGCCTGATCTACAATATGACTGATTGGATCGTTGTAAGTATTGCCGAAAATGGATTAAGTCGTCCACTAAAAGCTCTTTGAAACTCGGATGTTGAGCCAATATGGCAATAATAAAATTAATGTAGAAAGGAAAAGGACGTATGGATATGAGTGTAGAGTAACTGTCACTATATACTAAATACAGTCAGAAAGTGCAACAACCAGGCACTAAAACATTTGACGACCCGACTCCTGGCTTCAACACATCTCCGTAGTGTTAAGGAGAGACCAAAGAGGGAAAGGTAATACTGGTTTCGTCATCGTCCAGTAACAATCAACATTTCTTGTTCTTGTGGGACTGTAGCTTCAACTACTAGCTTGTGCTCATTTTCGTTGCGCTTACCTTCCCCTCTTTGGTCTCTCCTTTTAACCTTGAACCTTCCAAGTTGGAAGGCTTTTGGTTAGCGCTACGGAGATGTGTTGAAGCTAGGAGTCAGGTCGTCGAATGTCTCAGCACTCTGTCAGTTTTGTGCCTAGTTGTTGCATTTTTTTACTGTAGTAGCTAGTTACAGTGGTGGACAGTTACTCCTAACTCGTATCCATATGTCCTTTTCCTTTCTAATAAAAGCTCTATCCGCAAATATGCCGAGGTGGCTTGCCGTATCTCCCTCTATGCCATGCAACACAACTGTTGAGCGAGCAGCTTTTAGGCCAGCCCCATTGCACAACAGGTAGTAGGCTACTAATAGCGTAACGCAGCTAGGTAAACACGAATCGATGAAAGAGGCAGACTTCTTAGAACAAAGAGACTAGTTGTGAAGGACACAACATTTTCAGCAGTCAGCAGTAGGAGAAATTGCTCTTAATTATGCAGCAATACTAGGCTTACACGTTTGTGTCATGCGTTCTGAGACGGAGTCGTTGACTAGCTCGTCACTGGCCGCACTCAGAGCAGCAGTCGTCACTACACATGGGTTGGGAAGCAATGGACAAAATTAACACTTGCCATGCACACATGCACTGCTTACCAGCTAAGTTAATATGTCATACTGTACTGCAGCAAGCAAGGAACTGGCAATACCTGCACCAGGCCTATCTACTGTGACCCATGCCATTGTGAATGAAAAGAGGCAGCATTTGACAGTATGAGCGGTGTGATGAACGGGAATGCATAATACAAGCCAGTCGAGCATTGGTACATGTACTTACGGACGCAAGTTGGCTGCACACCGCTCCACTGGCCGTTGATTTCACAAGTACACACGACCGAGCCCATAAGGACATAGGGAGACTGCACACAAACGTGGTCGTGTTGCTGAACATCAAGCCGTTCACGGTCATTGAGCCCAGTGCCGGTGGTGACAGGACCTGGCAGTCGGTTTGACCTGCACAAGCACAGAGTGCACAGAGCACAGAGCACAGGCATTCAGTGCATGCATGTTTGGCCTAGGGGTGAAACGAGTGCCAAAATTGAGGACTCGAGTACTCTTTGAAAAAACGAGCGAGTATTCGAGCGAGTACGAGTATTTTACTGACAACATAAAACAATGTACTGCACACACTCTCGTAACACTGAACGTATTACACCTGACACATGTAGTCTTGCATGCAGCCTAGTGCAGGAAATAGTCTGAACTACGTCTTTTGTTGGTAAGTAGGGACAAGTAATAATTTCACACTTGCATGGGTTATCAGTACTGGTCTGAGTAACAGACGTGCTTGATGTACAAGCATACAGTACACTGTGCATAAGATACTTGAGTATTTTGCGAAACGAGTCCTCACTCCTTTCGAATTTTCGAGCAAGCGCTCGAGTATTCGATATACTCGTTTCATCCCTAAAACGTTTGCGTATGTGTGCGTGGCACAGACATTGGTTTTGAATACATTGTAGTACACGCATTGTGTAAAGGAAATTGATGCGAAGACTGCCTCAACATGGCCATGCAAAGTAATAAAATAAATACAGCAGTGAATAGCGGTCAACAGTAGCTCTACATTTTGCTTGTAATAGAAGTCATTAGCGTCAGAGCAAGAAGAGGGACAAGACGAGTCAAGGGACAATCCGGAGGACGCAATATCATACGACCAACTGTTTGTTTCTACCAGCGTTATTGTACCGTCGACACAGCTCTGACGACGATATACTGGGCGAATGCCGCGGGGCCTCCCAGCGTGTCAACGGCAGTGGGTGATGGGCAGATAACAAGGTAGCTTGCGGACAACATCGGTGGCATGAAGCCTAGTGACTGCCAAGCGTCTTGGCGCGACGGGCGAGCAGTACAGTGTCATGCCCCAGGGGCTGCTGTGGCTGTCGACGTCGGCGGGTCTTGAGGTGCGTTCGCAGGCCTTCATGGCGCTCGGACAACTGCAATACTAGTACACAGACTCTCACTACTAGCTACATAGTACTCTGATTCTGGCACGTTATTTCTGCATTGAATAGTGATTGATTTTCCGCGCCGAATATCCGACGCTGCATGCATGTCCAATGCGCGTCAACAGTACTTCACACTTTCCTTTTCCCGCGTTATCACCTCAGCTATGCCAGTTTTGTATGTGGAAACCCCCTATATAATAGCAGTTTGGTCTATATTTTTAATCATTCAATATCTACCTTCACTGATGAGCTATGTATTAGCGAAACAGCTGTCTGAAGGAGTTTATCAATATCGTCTACGGAAGTGTCCTCGCAATGATGATGGTTGTGTGCAGGAGGGTCTAGTCGGCTAAAGAGCGCAGTGTGGTGGTGGAGGTGACTCAACATTTTCTTCAATGGCCGAGAGCTCTGTCGCACCCTGTAATAATAATAGAAGTCATGGTACTACTATCAGTGCTGCTGCTGGTGCTTACCTGGAGCTGGTGTGACCTTGCCTGGGCAGTACTGTGCATCAGAGCCATCAGCACAGTCGTACCAAACACCGTCGCAGCGCTGTGATGGCAGGATACAGCCACAGGCTGGAACGCAGGCAGGGCAGGTAGCCAGACTGGCACTGCAGTTGAATGGCTGGATACACGTACCCATACACACAACACACAAAGCAGTCAAGAGATGAAGAAAGTGTCTGCTCGGCACATCTTTTGTACAGTCAAGAGATATTAGCATATTTGGAGGAGGTGGTAGCCTAAAACAGGCTCGACAAAAGTTACCGGCTTATGCCAACAACTCAGTGTTCTGGTAGAGTAGACGGTTCGATACCGGAACGCCTTGACAGCCAAATTTGTATAGACCCAAACCGATCATCAGCGTTGATTTTTCACTCGAAATATGTTTGTGGAAGGAAACTGGCATGTTGAAGTTTGCTCTGGGGCCAGAGTCAATCGAACTGAGCCACTCCTTTGTGTTGACCCATTGCCTCCAAGTTGCCCAATTTTTCGCTTCAAAAAAGTTCAAATCAGAGGTGGCTCCAAACCGGACACGTTTTAGAGTGCACGTCAAATTCACTTTGGGTCTGAAATTAGCTAATTGCTATCGCTCCACGACAGCCAGTACAGAGTAACAATAAGCCTTGTGTGTGCTTCCATTAGTTTTGATTGGTATGCGGTGCTTTATTGGCAAGAGGCGAGCCGCTGTTTACCTGCGACAAGAAGTTGATTTTTCGAAAGTCGTAAAACTCAAGTCGCAGTGCGAAGCAACACGTCAAAAACTCACCTGCTTGGTATGGCGCGTCTGGTCATCGCAGAGCCATGAAATTTTGGCTCGGAGTATAACACATCGTAGTCTCACTGTGACATATGTTTTCTAATCAAAATACCAAGAGAGAAAGTGAATATTGAGTCCGTTCCGGTTTGCAACCTGTGTCCTATTTGAAACCGTCGCCTCTACCCGGTGAAACACCCTAACCATACACCTACAAGTATAACATATATCCTAAGGACTCAGGCTGAGATGCCCGACTGGTCCTGGGTCCTGTGATAAGCACGATCATCATTTGTGATGATGAAAAGTGGCAGGTAACACCCAGACTATTACATGCTCTGTAAATAGGAAAGATCAACGCCACCAGAATCTGCCTCCCTACAAGCCTGAAGCTTCTCTACACAAGAGGGATATATCGGCTCTCTTGAAATTCAACTTACGATTACATGAGGCAGCTGCCCCACTCCAGGAACCGTCAATCTGGCAGATGCGCACAATGCTTCCCTGCAGGTTGTATCCGGAATTTCAGCCGAAGACGACGCTGCCTCCAGCAGAATAGTTTGTGCCCTGGGAGTAGCCGTTGGTCGGTTTAGCTAGCGGTGTGCACACACCGGCTGTACACGTCACAGGCACGTACACACACAGGCACGTACACACACAGGCACACACACACACACACACACACACACACACACACACACAGGCACACACACACACACACACACACACACACACACACACACACACACACCTTGACCTTGATACACAAGGATTCTTCATTATTTGCCACGTTTGAGCTGAGCTGCGATCATCGCGCTTTGTTGCAGTGTGCTAAAAAAACAAGAACAAAAAAAACGGCCAAAAAAGTGGGGCGGCTGAGGCCGCCCCAGCCACCCCAGCTGTGCCGGCCTTGCATGCCTGGTGTACGGTCTGAAAGATGAAAGATGGAGCTCTTGTATACACGGGCCCGGAAAGTCTGCTTCGCCTGCTCGGCAGCAGCTTCGTAGTGGTGGTCAAGGGTCGAAGACCGACGGATACGGATCAACTCCCCAGTGATCACACCTTTACCCATACTACGGGGGTGGTTACTACCGGCAAGCAGATACAGGAAACGATTGGTGAACTTGAAATGAGGCTTCACCGCCATGTATCCCTTACTACGGAAAACTGTGGTGTCCAGGAAATCAATGCCATCATGTGCCAGTTCATGCGCAAACTCGAGGGCCGAACACTTATTAATCCTGTCTAAAGCGCGCTGAACTTGACCTTCGCAACCATGCAATGAAACAAAAATGTCACTGATAAAGCGTCTATAAACCTGAACCTCTAAACCCTCCCCCTCTAAGATCGGCAAAATGTACCGATTCTCCAAATACAGCATAACAATGTCGGCATAGACCACTGCTGCAGGCGAACCCATGGCAGTCCCTTGGATCTGCGGAAACAAATCGTTATCTTACACGAACCCGTTAGTCTTCCGAATGACTGACATCAAGGAAGTCACTGCTGTTGTTAACCGTGTACGAAGGGCCGGGGGCATCCACCTTGTATACCTGTGTGTGATATACCACGACAATGCCACGTGACCGAGCTCGTTGGGGATGCTGGTGTAAAGGCTGGTCACATCTATACTAAAAATAAATGATCGTCCCGCACAGGCAAACCTTCTACCAAGTTGATGAAATCCGTAGTTCAGGCCAGAACAGTACTTTCCTCACGTACATACAGGTTCAGTAGAAAGTCAATGAACTTAGTGGGATAGTAGCCAGGACTATTCAGACTAACAATAGGCCTAACCTTCAGGGCACAGGGCTTATGTGTTTTGATAAGTCTCCTGAAAACGGGCATACGCCCCCGGTGCGACTAAGAACAGTGACATATAAAATGGTCATACGATGCCCGATGCGATGCCTAGTCATGGTGAGTAAACAATTGACTCGGGTCGCAAACACGAAGTCTCAACACAGCCTTGAGCCTGTTGGTTGCCATCGGCAGTCTAGCCACATGTTCATCTAGCCCATCAGGAAAAAAAACAGTCATTTATAATGTTGGGCATTGTGATGCTGGGCACGACCTATATCATCATAGTGAGATCAGTCCAGGACTACTATCACAATAGACTGCCTTTGAATATGCCCGAGTCTGATCGCGTTCTAATTCCCAAACTATGTGCTGCATGTGTACACTCCGCCTATGGTTAGTCTACTCCAGAACAACGCCTGGAGAGGTTCATTGGGGGCATGATGTCCCCCACCCCATCCCCCTTGCCCCCTGCACCTGAAGTACCGGTATTGCCCCTCCCCCCCCCCCAAATAAAGTACAGGACACAGATGGAGCACTGGGGAGCACGTAGCAGTAGGCAAGTTGACGATGCCAGTGCAGACACACCTCACCTTGGTCACCACACTGGCACAGTCATATGGTCTCTAAGGAACATAGCTACCAGAGAACACACAGAATGGGAGTATATAGTGCTATCCCGGAGGATAGACAACCTCC